TTCACATTCATACTATGGCACTCAAGAAAGAATTTAAAAAAAAAAAATTAAAAAAAAATCTATGGTGTTATCCAAGTTCAACAATGACAAGGTATTTCTTACTCAAAAGCTTCCTGTTCCCTGTGACCAGTGGAGCTACCTCTTTTCAATACGGCCTCAGAGCTTATTCTGAGGCCCACACCATGATGATAACAACAATAAAAACAGTCTTACAGTCTATTGTTATTACAGGCACAGTATGTTGTTGGAAATTCTGAAATTTCATTCACGCAGTGTTAACAGCTCACTACCTGAACCTACATTACTAATCAGAACACCAAGCTAATACCCCTCTGAGAAGGGTTACCAGATGGTGACTTTCTTATAGTTTTACATGGTTATTTTAGATTTTAGGCTCTGAAGGAAATAAATATATGCACATATGTATGTTCCGAAGAGAAAAAAAAATAAATCTGTTAGCTTAAGGATAGAGATTGCTTTTGGGAATACACAGCAAACATTAACTATGCTTCAATCTCCTAGATAAAACATGCTCTGTATGTTGAGCTATACAGTAAAAATCTACCTCTAGTTACTGGAGTAAAGCTTCAGAAAGTTTAGACACAGGTTGTTTGGGGTCATCTCCTGATTGTTATACCACAAGCTCAACTTCATGCCATGGTTCAACAGTCAACTGACTTGGCAGACCCTGGAAAGCACTGCTTGACAAATGCAAAACGTCACAGTACTCAGAAGTTTTATTTACATTATTTTAGAGATGGAACTTACCTCTTCCTGTAGGAATGATGGTACTGACTTGCTCAGTCCTTTGAGTTTTTCAGGATTGGAAAATAGCTTATCAGGCTGTGAAGGCACTGTGGAAACTGAAGAGCAGCAATTCAAAAGGCTTCAAAAATATGTTTGTACATCAAAACAGTGACATTCCATAACAGGACACAATTAAACAACTTCAGATGAAATACATGCACATGCAGAACCAGTTTACAACTTGGATACAAGATGTGCCCCCCTCACACTGTCCAGGACTCAGAGAAGCTATCATTAGGAAGGATAATCTACTCTGACATCTCCTTAACACCGACCAAAGAACTCTGTCTGGCAGGAGAAGAAATTTTTACATTGCTTGGCATGATATACAAGCCTGGGTGCTGCAAGCAAATTCTGATCAAATATGATGAAGAAAACATTTTCAGTTTACCTTCCATTTACATGCACTAACCATACTATCATTGACATTGAAGTCATCATAAGGTACAAGCCAAACCCTGTTCTTTTATCTACTCAGTCTAATTAATTGCAATAGAAACATCTGTGTAAATCAAACAATTCTTACACCAGAACAAGGAAGTTTTAACTATTCCTAGTTAATTATAAGATGCATATCATTAACGATGCACTACTTTGCAGCCCATCTCTTCAACTTTTGTATACCTCTACTGAAGTAATCTTCTGTGCTCTTTCACTGTACAGAGCTTAATTGCACAAGCTAGCCTTGCAAAAAATCCAGTTTGCAGGAAGCCCACAATTCTCAGAATTTTCCATGCTCTAACCCCACTTATATTTAATAATGCACTACAGCTCTATCTCTTTGGACTCAATACACATTGTAAAATGCACCAATAATGAATATTGTATGACAATTATTTGGCAACAAACAGCCAGCTACAGGGACATGTATCTGTTGCCTCAAATGAAACTCTGCACACACAACGGGACTGTTTGCAAGGCACGAGTTAAGCTTTTGCAAAGCTTTTGCTGTTGAAGCTCAAATAGTGCTCAACATACCAGTTGTTATCAGTATGCAGTTAGATGCAGTTTCCTTGCTGAGCAAGTATCTAGTCCAGATGTATAACTTATTAGTTGTTAAATAAAATAGGATTTTTAACGTATTAGTTTAAACATAGGTGGAGAAATCTCTCCATTGTCTGCTGGAAGAATCCTATTACTCACTTCCTGCTGCGTTTTCATTCCCCTCTTGATGCTGATCAGGTTTCGGACCTGCTCAGTGCAGTATTGACAACAGTCATTCAGTAGCACAAACAGCTTTGCAATGTTATAGATAGCATCAACATATATTATATGCGAGAAGTTTTTTTAGTTCCCCAGGCCCCGTATGTTTGTGTGTTTTGCATCACTCTTCTCCTTTGAGGAGCTGGATCATAACAAAGGTAACATGGGTGTACAAGCTAATCACAGCAAAGATGAATAGTATTTCCAAGAGAATTTGCCTTATTCTGTCTGTGCAGCTATCAGTTTGGCTGTATGTGTGTGTCATTTTTTCAAAAGTTCACTGAATAAATTTAACTGAAACCCCCTCCCACCCTTTTCAGATATATTCCATATTGAATATAAAACATGGTTTTAGTAGGAGCCTCAATAAGAAAGCAAAGGTCAGTGCAGTACTTAAGTCTTGTTAATTTACTGGACACTGCATGCATCCTATTCTGCTACAATCATCCTATTTATACTGTAGGCCACTAACAAGAAAAATGCTTTAAAGCATTTAAAACATGACAATAAATGCATCTGTGCACAACAGTTTTTTAGAACTGTAGTGCTCCGATGCAGTTCCACCATATGCAGTGTTATTTGATGGTTTTCTATTGTGTTCATCTTGACATATTCTTGGAGTAGGCTTGCTTTTTATTTTGCTTAGATTTGGAATTTCAAAAGGTATATAGAAAAATTAACAGTAAGGCATCTGTAATGCACTAATGGAGTGATGCTGATCTGGCAGTTAATCTATTGCTTAAAATAATTCTACTTTGCTGAATCGAGATAGAGATTGTGAGAGGTTCCTCTTCAACTGATGTATTCTGAAGGGTGTTTTACACTAGCAAAAGCCATCTTGCATCTTGTGATGCAACAGAGGAACAGACAAATTCAATATTTACTTAGGCCAAGTCTTTCAACTGAGCTACTGTTCAAAGCTCTCCATGACTTTACTAACTGTTTCATAGGCTGAATGACCAACAGCTAAAGTAACACACTGGTAGGTGGCACAGAGTTTCTGCAGATACGGCAGAACATAATGTAAGTATATTCCTTAAGAATAAAATACAGTAAAACTCTACAAAAGCATTTCAGTCATGCTGAAGTTAATCAAATCTAAGAGTGTAATACAATTCTTGGTTTCACTAGCAAAGAAAAGCCATTGAGAAAAACTTCCATGCAGACACAAAAGATATTTACCATCTTCAGCACTAAGAGCTAATTCTTCCTTTGGATTATTTATTTTTCCTTTATCTGTGCAGGAAAAAAGTAACACATAGTTAGAACTTTTGCTGTTCAAGTATGATAAAATGGATGGCAGTGATAATCACAGAGTTAAGAGTAATGAGGACAAAAAACCCCAAACCAACAGAGCCATTAGAACGGTTAAATTCAAGAGATGCTTTTTATGTCACATACTACTTCAAGCCTACATCCAAGCTGCAGACTCGTGTTGACACAGTTTCTATCAAGTGCGCTGTTGCAACCAGTTAGTGCATACCTAGAAACTAGTTAGAAGCAAGCAATAGTGTAAGTAGTAGTAGAAGTATTTGCCAACAATAGCCAACATATTTCAAAATCTACACCTCCACACTTCAGTTCACAAACAGAAGTTCAGTTTATGTTGAGGGCAGAGTGAAGGGACACGGGAATAAAAATTTTTAAAAAATAATCCTAGGAGGCTACAGAGAGAAGTCAGGAATGAATCTCAAGTACAGTCTTGTCTCACTGTATTCTCTCCAAGTAAGTTTGGTATATTAACTGTAGACTATACAGGTAAAACTACTAAACTGATTTTTTTCATAAGGCTACTGTTTATCAATTCGACCCAAGCAAGCAGCCAAGGAGACAATGGCAGCTGTTGCTCACTACTAGTTTGGGTAGTTGCCAATACTTTCACTATCCAAGAAACAGTTAATCACAGATGAACACAGTGTATTTTTGGAAGATGTCTCCTTCCTAGTTCAGTGTTGCTTCAAAATTAACACAAGAGAACTGAAAAATAAACTGTACAAGAATTCAGTTCTACAATACAAGCTCCATACAGCTTTTTGAGAAAGAAAGACAAAACCACTACTTGGCAAAGCTGTATGTAAGACCAGCATGAACACATTTAAGCCGAACTGGGGGTCATGGGAGACACACACAAGCTTTGTGCTCACTTGAGGTGGCTGATGGAATGTCCTCTAGACTTTTGGAAGGCATTTTCCTATCTGCACTCCTTTTCAAAGCCATCAAAACAGGGTTTAATTCTTCTTCTGAACCTGTTATGAGACAAAACACATGAACACTGCACACACAGACATGCCTTTTTAAGCAAGTCACTAAAAAACAACCATGGATTTCCCATGAGAATCTCTTTTGACTGTTAACGAAGACAGTGAACATTCAATGAAGATACAAAATAAATCCCAGACAAAAGAACTGTCGAATTTTAAGTGTCCATTTGCTTTCTCTAAACTCTCTCAACCATCAGTAGAGAGAGGCAGGTTGGTTGATTTGTCCTGTGTAGGTACCTCTGGCTGTACTGACTAATAAGGGGGTTTCAGGCAATCATGGCACGTATTGTCCTTAAACAATTATAGGGTAAACGCAGACTTTAGCCATTTTGTAACCAATGAATCAGCACAAAAAAGTTAATAGCTTTAGTTTTCCCTCAGTGTAAATTTGTCCATTATATTTTCTCCCCAGTGAAAGAAATTTTGTTTCAACACTTGTGCAACAACTACAAAAAAAACCCCTGCAACTGTGGAGATATTTGGATCCCTGAAATTATGCAGTTGTCTCCAAAGGCAGATTCAAGACAAACCTAGTTTCTTCAAAAACCTTTAAGACCTTCTCTCCTCCCTATTGCACTTTCTTGCCCATCAGCCAACCAACCAACTTAATAGTGTTGCAGCCTGTAATTATGGGTAAAAACAAATTATGTTTCATTTTTCCTCACTTGTTTTGAGTTTTCACTGACTTCTATTGGAATCTCAATTTCAAAATAGGCTGAAGAGTAAATTGGCAGGCCCTGGAAACTTCACAAATTAATCGGATATTCCAGGTAAAGAAAATACTCCCAGTCTCTCAGGAACAGATTAAAAACGTTAAATTATCTCCTCTATCTTAAGATCTTCAGTGATGATCACATTCTATACATTGATTAGAGCCGCCATTCAACCAATTAATAAGAGTCCTAGTAAATAGACCACTTCACTTACACGGCCACTTTCTAGTGCAATAGGCAGCAATGCTAACCAAAATAGCACCGAGTACTGGTATTGTCTTTATACCTAGCCATCCCACTGATAAGTATTTACCTTTGAAGACTAGCTAGTCAAACTAAAGAATGAACTCAGCCCTGATATTTGTTTTTTTTTCCCTTTTTTAATCCAGGATATTGAAAAGAAATACCAGATTTCAAGTGTTACAATGCTATTAATTTGAAGGAGCTGTCATGGAGGAGGAAGAAAAGGGTAAATCACGAAGACTGATGTGATTGATTCATGCTGCTAAACTCCCCTTACCGAAGAGGCTTACCCAAATGTAGTACATGTTTGTCAAACACTGTCCAATTAAAGGACTTAATTAGTTCTTCTGATCCTTCCCAAACAAATATCCAAAGCATCCAATTAAGAAATAAGTATCACACAGACTTTTGGTTAATATATGTCAACTTGGCTACCAAAAAAATTGTAGCCATGTTTAACAACCCATCACCATGAATTTTAGCAATCAAATGGCTCACGGATTGAGCTTCTGGTTCCAGAGTGAGACTCAGAGTTTTCATTTGAGAACTTGGATCCCAAATTTGAGCCATCCTCTTCCTCTTCATCATTATCCTCATGCTGAGACATTAGGTAGAGTTGAGCTCCTTCTGGCTGGGGGAAGTTGCTCTCAGCTTTAAGTGGTGTGCTTGTTCTTCTGAATTTCAACAGTGCTTTAAATTCCGGATTATTTTCAGAAGCATCCAAGTATGTGCTTTCATCTCCCCTTCCTTTTTCATTTATCTTGAATGACTTGATTGCAGTCATGCTGGTCTCTCCTTCCAAGGGAAGATGATCAATGGGAGCTAAGTTTCTCTTTTCTTTTTTATTAATAGCTCCATTTCTTTTAGGAAGATCAGAAGCTTTAGTTTCACTTACTGCAAGATCATTCACAGAGGCTTTGATATTTTGTTCTGGAGCTCCCTTTTTGATATATATTCTCATCTGTGTATGATAGCTACGTATAGCATCATATGGCTGTGACATTGACACAAATAAAATATCTTTTTGTGCTGGAAATGTATGATCCCCAAACTTCTCGTGTTTATGTAACTCTCTAGATATTGGAGATGAAGCTTCAGATGCTTCTTGAAGAAGCTTTTCTAAAGAGCTACTGAATTCACTGAATTTTGCAATATTTGAAACAGAAGTTTTTTCTATTATTTCTTGTATTTCCTGAGGAGGATCTCTCTCTTGTTGATGTGGAGCACGTACACTTTGACAAGTCCCTATTTTACCTTGCATTTTCTTATCCATATTTTCCAGCACAGAAGCTGGTGTTTCAGAAATCTCTTTCTGTAGCTTCTGCAAATTAACATCAAATACTTCATACTCAGCCTTGAACACTGCAGATCTTTCTATGGTCTCACTGACTTCCTGAGACAACTCTCCATCACACTCACGGGTCACGCTTTTATCTTCCACTTTAGCAGGCCTCCATACTGTGCTGTCAGCACGCTTTGGTTTAGGAGGTGGTGTTTCAGAGGCCTCCTCCAGCAGTTTCTCTAAAGCAGAACTCAAATCACTGACCTTGGATAGAGCAACAGACTTTTCTATGGTCTCACTGATTTCCTGCAGCAACTCTCTATCACGCGCACAGGTCATGCTTTTAACTTGCACCTCAGCAGGCCTCCATACTGTGCTGTCAGCACGCTTTGGTTTAGGAGGTGGTGTTTCAGAGGCCTCCTCCAGCAGCTTCTCTATAGCAGAACTCAAGCCACTGACCTTGGATGGGGCAACAGACTTTTCTATGGTCTCACTTATTTCCTGCAGTAACTCTCTATCATGCTCACAGGTCATGCTTTTAACTTCCACCTCAGCAGTTCTCTGTGCAAAGCTGTTGCCATATTTTGGTTTAGGCGGTGATATTTCTGAGGCCTCTTCCAGCAGTTTCTCTAAAGCAAAACTCAAGCCACTGACCTTGGATGGGGCAACAGATTTTTCTATAGTCTCACTGATTTCCTGTGGCAAATCTCCGTCGTGTTTATAGGTTGTGCTTTTAACTTCCATCTCAGCAGGCCTCGGTACCATGCTAATGGCATGTTTTGGTTCAGGAGGTGGTGTTTCAGAGGCCTCCTCCAGCAGTTTCTCTAAAGCAGAACTCAAATCACTGACCTTGGATGGGGCAACAGATTTTTCTATGGTCTCACTGATTTCCTGCAGCAAGTCTCCATCGTGTTTATAGGTTGTGCTTTTAACTTCCATCTCAGCAGGCCTCGGTACTGTGCTAATGGCACGTTTTGGCTTAGGAGGTGGCGTTTCGGAGACTTCCTTCAGCAGCTTCTCTAAAGCAGAACTTAAGCCACAGACCTTGGATGGTGCAAGAGACTTTTCTATGATCTCATTGACCTCTTCAGGCTGACCACTATCTTCCTGGCATGTCAATTCTATGCTGCGATTAGTTTGTGATATACTATTTGTGTCATCTGATGTTTTCATTCCCACCCTCCTATACTTAAAAGGTTGAGATGTAAAGGTTTCTCTGAGCAGGTTCTGAAAACCAGCTTGAGGCCTCTGAGAACCCTCAAGAGTAAGAACATTGTCTGCTGCCTGATGTTGTAGACAGGAAGGTTCAAATTCCCTAAACAGTTTCCTGGGCCCTTTTTTGTTTTCATAATCATCTACTGATAGCACATACATTTTCCCTAAGCTTTTGTTTATTTCTTTTTTTTGATCAGCAGAAGAAATGTCATGGCTCTGTTCTACTGTTCTTTCAAAAACCCTGCACTGATTTGAGTGAAAAGTTGTCTCTTTCAAAATGTTTTCTTTTAGGTTCAAGCTAGATGACATCTCAGAGGCTTCCTTTTCTAGCTTCTTTAGGCCTAATTTGAATGCATCAAGCCCAGCTTTAGGTTGAACAACCTTATCCACAGTCTCTGCAGCCTCCTCTTTAGGGAGACTGACATCTAATGGAGTAGTCTTGTTCTCCATTTTTTCTATAGTTAAACACTGCCAATCATCTACTGCTGTCTCCTTTAAAGCATCTTTATCACTGGGTAACTGGAGAAAGTGCAAGGAAACATGATGTTCTTTTGAGGAAACAATACCTTTTTCTATACATTCTTTAACTTCTTGCCCTGGAAGACCCGTCTTTTCCTGGAGTTTTGAGCTAACTAGTTTACTGTCCAGCTGGACAGCATCTGTATTTTTTGTGTGTGTCACATTCAGACCTTTCAGTGTAGGTGATCCTAGAGGCACTTCATATACCACAGAATCTAATTTCTGTGTGGTTTTTCTCTCAGATGTTTGGGTTTCTTGTTGAATTAGTTCTTGCTTGCTCATGTTCTCTCTGCCCTTTTTATCTTCCTTTGATTTTCTTTCATAGGTTATTGAACTAGTACTCTTTGGCAAAGAAACATCTCCCCGATCAACACTATTCTGTAATTTAACTCCAGTATCCCAGAAGTTTCTCAGACTCTGGAACTGTGAAGGATCTGAAATTTGATTCTTGGACTTTTCATTCATTTTATCTTTTAAAGACAAAACCTGGAAGCAGGGCTTCTGTTGGGAACAAGCAGCAATTTTTCCTTTAAGTGTTTCTTTCTCATCTTTGTCTTCACTTTTTGTGGAAGTTGAACTGGCACCAACTCCTGGCTGCAGGTAACTAGCTTTTGGCAATTCTGTGGATTGATGAGCTTCATCAGATGGAAATCTTCCTTCTGTTTTTTCAACTGTGTGACTTGATCCAAACTTAAAAGAGTTCCGCTGTTCATTTCTTGAAGCCTGGCTTGCACAACTTAGTTTAGCACTTCTTAACATATTCTTGCTTTGATCATCCAATCCATTAGGTAGGTCTACTGCAGTTGGGTTTATTTTGTCACTTTCTCTGAGGTTTTTCAATGCACCACCATCTGATGCATTAGTATTAACTTCTTTCTCTCCATGACTGGGGATAGTTTTATCCCTCTCCCAGAATGCTCTGATCTCCTTTATTCTTCTTTTTTCTCGTATTGCCTTCTCTGATTCACATTTCTGAGCTGGTAGCTTGTGTTCTTGATGTTCCAAGAAATCTAATTTTTTATTTTGTTCCTCGATTTCTCGTTCTTCAATTCTTGTACAGTCAAATTCAGTTAGGAATTTTCCATTTTGCTTCTCATTCTCTTCTCCTTTCTTAGGTTTCATCCTCTCTTGTATCAGCAGTGTATCTTCTGAAATAAGTGATGCTGGTGAGATACTATTCCGTTGCTTAATCTTTCCAAATGGTAACTCTTTTGTAACTTTTGTTTTTCCATCCATGCTAGGCCCACCGTGTTCTGGAGGAAGAACTGCTGTTCTGGATGAGAAGTCTACTTCCTCTTCGGATTCCCTGCCTTGGGATCTGGCTGATACATGTTTCCTATCTTCAGCATCAGAACTTCTTTCCAACCAATTTAAAATTTTTGATACAGATTCACCAGCCACTTTGAGTTCATCAGCATGTTTGTCAGGCTTGAAAGTGGTTTTAGCATCTTGCTCCTCAACAAGATCAGGCTTACCTTGTTGAAGACTTGTAGAACTGGCATTTGACACCTCATGTACTTCTGTTTTAGCAGAAAGCTGATGTTTATCTATAAGGTAAACAAACTTAACAGAGTTAGGAATCAGGCACACAATTCTATAAATATTTGATCTATCTTGAAAAATATCTCAGATTATTTTTTTAACTGTTAGCAGAGAAAAAGAGTTCTCTGTCCTTGTGTCTTTGGAAAGAACCATACTGCAGGCAATGGAGTAAAAAGTAAAATTCCTGCACTGATATATCCTACCAGAAGATTAATCACATTACTTTCGAGGGTGCAAGCAGATAAGATTGGTTATCCCCATTCTAAAGGAAATGGCTACATTGAAAAGGGGGGTGGGGTCTGTGCAGGCAGCAGGGGGAACAACCCAGAATACTTGTGTTTAGTCCCATGAGCAAATCCCCAAGTAACAACTGGATTACTACCAAAGACAGTCAACAACAGTACACCAAAATTTCTTCAGTTCCCATAAAGACAGATATACCAGGCCTTATGACAGAAATTTTATCCAAATGCCATTACTTCACCATCATCATCCACAAAAAAGGTGCCTATCCAGGCTTTGATCTGATTGTTAATTCTTAAGAATACCAATAGAAGATAATCTAAAAAATACTGGACTAAATTAGAGCATTAAAATACAAAAAAGTGATTTAGAATTTAATTCTGCAGTATATAGCACATTCCTACTCTTTCTGTTTCCTAGTCATCAAGTCTTAGAAACAAGTGATTTAAACATTAATGAATACGTGCCATATGCTATTGCATTCTGTTCCACACTCCCATTAGTCTCTTACCAGTAAAGTTTGTGTGTGACTTTGATTCACGGCTCAAGATCTGGTTGGATTTATTTTCACGTGTCTCATCAACACTCAGTTCATTATTGCCATTTGGCAGGATATTGCTGGAGGATTTCTGTGGAGTTTCAAGTGTCTTAGGAGTAACCATCTTTGTCTGCGAGGCTTCGTTACCCAGGAAGGCTGACCTATTAGTGTCACAAGGGCCAGATGCTGATGTATCTTCTCGTAAGCCATCTTTTGTTTTTACTTGTAGAGCTGATGAAGAGGTTCCCAAAGGTTTTACAGCAGGAATTTGCTTATTCCCCAATGAATCTGATTTAATAGCATTGCTTCCACTACTCTTTATTTCATCAGATTCTAGCAAATCAAACTCTCCTGTTTCTCTACCACGGTGTAGCTGTGGGCTTTGCAGAGGTTCCCCTTTACCCATGCTAGATGAGAACCTCACTTGTTTTAGTTTTTCTAGTGAAATTTCTGTGGAGTCTCCCACTTCTTCCATAAGAGAATTCTTCTCAGCTTCTCCTTCAAAAATAGTTGCAGTAGGAAGACCATTCTTTTTCTGAACATCTAACATCTGACTAACACGAACTTCTGAGTCAGTGGAACTTGAACTTGAACTGCGCTTCAGAATGCCCCTGGGCGGTGTACCGATGCCATTCACCCTCTCGGTCTGTTTGGCTGGTTTTGAAATGAAATCTTCTCTTTGTGACACAGGAGCTGTTGCTTTATGAATTAATTTTCTAGCTTTTGGGACAGGACGCTTAACTAGTCCTTTCTGTGATTCATCAGGAGGTTCTACAGAAGGTTTCTCATGTTTCTCTGTTTCATCATTTTGTAAGTTTGGTTTAGGTCGGCTCTCTTCTGAGAGTGACAAAATTTCTGTAAGACAGAAGAAATCATGAGTTTACATGACATTCATCTGAATAAACAGAGGGGTATGACCCAGTGCAGATCTAGAATGAAGTGACTGGTTTATTGACTGGTTTATTAAAAATCTGCAGTAAAAGACATGCAGAAATTGAACACAGGTGTTGATTTCGTTTGTATGTAATAGGATGTTTTAGCAGATGAAAATCCTGCAGTTATTTCTTATTCTAGAAACAGTAACTATTTGATGATTCCAAAGATAGAGAGCAGACCAAACTTTTGATGAGCATTATTCCTGCAAGGGACAAAGATTGCAGGGAAAGGCAGCTTTAGAATTCAGAAGAATAGAGTTCAGGTTCAGAACATCAACAGCAACCTACAGAAATTGAATCAGGCTATTTCCATATGAAATGAAACAAGGTAAAATGCAGAAGTGATCTCCTGGTAGGGAGATATTTATTTTTTTTTATTCCTAATGTGCAAGTCTTCTTTTTTCCTGTTTGCAAGCTTTCTAACAGAGACAGGAGAGTAATTTCCACATATAAACCTGCAAATTACAACTTCAAATGCCTGTATTGTGATATATCACCACTCATCTACTTGCTTGCAGAGACTACTGCAGGAAAGGGAGGATTTGAAAATAAACAGGACTGAGAAAACAAAGGAAAATAATAAAGATCAAAGAGTTAGGATTCTTCTGCTGAGCCAATAGCAGTAAAGACTGGAAGGTCATAAAGGCAGCTATACCAAATTCAAGGAAGTTTCTCTGTTCTCTTAAATGCAATTCAGGACAAACAGCCCTCTCAGATGGAGTGCTTAATACTGACTAGAACTGTGAGTACAACAAAGGAAGCAAAACCCACTTACTCATGTAAACAGTCATTTCCAAAACACTGGGTTTGAAATTAACTAGTTGATAGGTCCAAGTAGTTAAGATAAAACAGGTTTTGATATCTTACAAAAGAAGCAATGAAAGTAAAAGTAATTTCCATATAAACCGCCAAGAAATTCACAGTCATATGCTAAATAAGTATATTTACCCTTTGATAGCTGAGGTAGAGTGGCTGGTCTGTTTTCTGATTCCCCACTGTTCAAGTTATCACCTGGTGCAGTGGTATTAAATGGATTTCTCCTTTGCTAAAAGAGGAACGAACATTATAGTTTCGGTCAAAGTGTTGCATCAGTACAGTCTTGACAAAATAAATGAAAAGTGCAGTGATTTCCTCTGCCTCACTACCCTGTCAAAGAGCCTGAAAGCATGCCTCTTAAAATGGATACATCACAAAAAAAACCTAAACAATATGAACCAGAGAACTATCAGAACTCCTAGTGATAGCTTCATCTCGTTCTTTTTTGAAGTCACCAACTGCAGAGATAAGCCACCACCTTAAAGATACCTGAAAATCCCAAGTTGTTGCAAGTTAAATAGTTTTATCTCAAGTTTTGTGATTTTAGAGATATTGAAAGACAGCAGGACAATTCTTTCCAGTGGTTAGAAATAACATCAAGCAGAGACAGCCACTGATTATAGCCGTAACAGCACTTTGGTGCTGAACTTTGAATGGTTTCCACTGTCTCCCTTTAAAACAAACAAACACACACTCTTTTTTTTCTCCACCTTATTATCTTTCTTCCTCAAATCTTTGTCTTTATCACTGAAGCAAAGAAACACACAAAATATAAAAGATAGCTTCTGCTATATTTAATACCAGCCATACCTTTACTTGTGAGATTGCTGCCTTCACAGATCTTTCCTCTGGTTTGTCTAACACAGACGTTACTGTTTTAGAACTGCAAAGAAAAAGCATATAACAAACTTCA